CGGCTGGGCTGGCTGCCAGCTGGGCCGGTTGGCCCAGTGGGGGGTCCTTTCCTTTTTTTTTGGTTAGTTTTGTTTTGTTTTACTTTTCTTATTTTCTTCTGTTTTGGCTAATTGTTTGGGCACCAAATGAGTGTTGTGAAATATGAGAGCTGGCCCACAAATCACAGCACTATAAATCCTACCACCAAAAACTAGTTTGGGTTAATTATCATTTCACATTTATTTTGTATTAATAAAAAGGTTATTAAATAATGTTTTCAGCCACTGTTTAAGGTTGTTTAAGTCACTTATTAAATTTCAATAATATTGTTTACAATTTTATCATAGTCTCTGATTTATCTACTATTTATTAAACATTTTAGTTTTAATATTTGAAAACTTTTATTGTTTGCTTGATTTTAAATTTTGAATTATAATCAGTTTCGAACTAACGCGAGATTAGAAACAATAACCGTGGTGACGTGGCATCATTAACGTGGGATTACTGTAGCTTAATTATCCGGGCGTCACACTCCCCCAGCTTTTCAACTCTCTGGTTGTACGCTTCATCTTCTCCGCAAGGCACGCAAGAGGCTCTTGAGTGGTCGTTGGTCGCTGCCAGACGCTGGCTACCAACTCACTGAACCCGTCCATCTGGACCCAAAAAATTTCAAAACGAAATTGTCTCGCCGGCCTGAAGGATGTGTCACAGGTGAGAAGCAACGAGCAATGATCTGACATCTCGCTAGAGAGGGCTTGCAGTAGGCAGCCAGGGAACCTAGCGTCCCAAGCGTCATTGTACAGTACCCAGTCTTGTTTCACCAAAGTGGCCCTCTCTTGCTCATTGCTCCAAGTGTACCTGCGGTCGTGCATGTATAGGTCTTTGAGTTGCAGCTCATTGATGAATCCCCTGAAGGCTGACAAACATCTGCGGTTGATGTTATTATTATTTTTGTCCGTTGCGTGCGCGATCATATTGAAGTCTCCTCCGAAGAAAATTGCCGTGCCCACCGGAAAGGCTTGCACCGCCGCCTTCATGTCAGCTAGAAACACCATGTTATCCGTCACTTGTTGTGGCCCGTACACCGTCATCAATCCAAACGGGGCCCCATCCGCAGTGTTCCCATGCGCCGTGATAAAAGAGTTGTGCAAATCCACATTAGGGAGATTGAATTTTGCCCCAACCCAAACGAGCAGTATCCCACCTCTCGTCCCATCCGCAGGAGATAAAGCAAACTTGTCAAATTCGGCTCCACATCACTCTTGCACAATCCTACTGCCCACCAAAGATAGCTTTGTTTCTTGGATACATGCCATGGCAACATTGTGTGCCTTTACCATGGACCTAACCACACCTCTACGTGCTGGATTATTGAGTCCCCGCACGTTCCAAAGTAGGATGTTGTGATCCATCAAACACTTTATCTTCCAGGCTACCGGCCTGACCGCCTATGCCGTGGCCGGTGGCACCATCACGTGTTCTTTCCCTGACCGAGCAAGGATCATCAATGCCTTGATCTGCGGTGGCCACATCGGTTCATCAAAGGCTCTAGCATACCGCTCGACCCTGTCGTCTTCAGCCTCTCTGCGCTCGGGAATAGCCAGCCCCCTCTTGGACATGACTAGCAACCTAGCCTGCTTCATGATGGAGCTTCCCTCGGGGAATAAGAGCTTCTTCCCCTGCAATCTGCTGCTGCGTCTCGTTGCTGTTGCGGGCGCCCGAGCCGCCTTCCTAGGACGGCGACCAGGGGGCCTAGGGTTGGGCAGCAACGGCGGTGGCACTTCCTTTGTCGCCCTGGCCAGGAAATCTGCAACGCGGGCGTCGGGCAGGCCTGCGCCAACCCGCTGTCCAGCTGGCGTAGCCTCTATGGTGGCCTGGCCCGAGAGTTGGGCCCCGCTCAAGGGCGTAGCGTGGCCCACCATGTCTACCTCGGCTCCCCCAGGCCGAGCCTGGGCTGGCGCAGCCCATCCGCAAGAGTAGTGGCGGGCCCCAACGCTGCGTCGGGCATGCCCATCTCTTCAGCCGCGTTCTCCTGTTCACCTGCAGGCGTGCATGCCTCCGCCCCCCTGCATGCCGAGAGAGGCACTCCCTCGGGGCCATCCCATTGACCCGACGCAAATGAGCATCTGACGCCCCCCGATCCACATATCATAACATAACACACCTCGAAGCAAAATGAGCCTAGAAAGTAATACATGAATGTTTCTATGTTATCACATCTATGACACTATTCACTATAGAATATGTATATTACTAGTCTAAATTACTTCATGTTATGTCGCTAGGTCATCGCTAATCACGCGATATCCCAGCTTTTTACGCTTGTTTCGCCTAACTGAAGAAATACGCTAGGAGAGTACGTATACTACTAGTGCACTGCAAAGCGCAGGTTCGGCCGTCAAGCGAAGCCTGCCGGAGTGAATCCAACCGGTTAGCAGCTGTATACACTAGTACCTGCCTGCATGGAATGGTAAATGCGTGGTTGGTGACGCTGTGGACATTTTCCACTCAAAGAACAAGTCGGCGAGGAGCGAAGACACTGTTCCCATGCAACATTCAACGATCAACCTAACTAACTTGTCCCTACGCACAGGCTCAGCACACAGGCACCACGAGATCTCAAAGGCCGATCAGACCACCGACGCGCAATCAGCGAGACACCGCGAAAATCCATCGAACGTCGCCGGTCAGACGCTTCAGCTGTCCGGTCCAAGTTTGCGTCTATCGCAAGTCGCGACGTGCGCCGCCCACGAAACGCGGCCTGCCCACATACGTCGTTGCCAAGCTATATTGCCTTTGTACGTGGTCGTCCGGGACGGCTTATAAATATGTCATCCGTAACCCAGCTTGAGCAAACAACACACGACACGAAACGACCATCACCTCTCTAGTGGCTACTGGCTAGTGCGAAAGGAAGATGGCGACTAAGCTCGCAGCGCTCGTCGTCTTGGCCGCGTTCCTCGCCGGGCCGGCGGCGTGCGACGGCGCCAGCATTTGCTTCAACGGCTGGCTGAGGCTGCCCACCTACAACGCGGCGCTCTGTCGCCCCAGGCCGGACGTTCAGACGCGGCAGAGGAGACCTGCTCCCTCGGGGTCAGGACTCAGCTCCGGCTATTACAACACCAGGTGCCCTAGCGCGGAGAAGATCGTCACGGATGCCGTGAAGAAGGCCGTGGATGCGAACCCTGGCATTGGTGCCGGGCTCATCCGTCTCTTCTTCCATGACTGCTTCGTTCGGGTACACACACTGACACACCTCGTCAATTCTACTAGCTTATATACTAGCATGTTCATTATAAGGTCCTTCATGTTCATTATATTTAGGGCTGCGATGGTTCCGTCCTCCTCAACACGACCAACTCGAAGAACAGCGACACGGAGAGGGAAGGCCCTCCCAACCAGAACAGCCTCCGAGGGTTCGAGGTGATTGACGAGGCCAAGGCGGCGATCGAGGCTGCCTGCCCCGACACAGTCTCATGTGCCGACATCGTCGCCTATGCTGCCCGCGACGCGTCCTACTTCCTCAGCGACCGCAAGATCAACATCCAGATGCCGGGCGGCCGCTACGACGGCCGCGAGTCATTCTCCAACGAGACAGACCAGCTGCCTGGGCCCTTCTCTAACCTCACGGCGCTTCAGGGGAGTTTCGCGGCCAAGGGACTCACCTCCGACGAGATGGTCACGCTCTCCGGCGCGCACACCATCGGCCGCGCCCGCTGCTTGTTCTTCTCCACCCGTTTCTCTGAGATGGAACCGGTATTTGCCGCCAAGCTTAGGGCCCAGTGCAACGGCAACGACGGCACCAACGTGAACCAAGATGATGTGACCCCCAACATCCTGGATAAGCAGTACTACCAGAACGTGGTCGACAAGAAAGTGTTGTTCACCTCAGATGCCGTGCTCAACTCGACGGAAACGATAACGCAGGTGACAGAAAACGCGAACATGACCGGGGCGTGGGAGAGGAAGTTCGAGAAAGCCATGGAGACTATGGGGAAAATCGGGGTCAAGACCATAGGCAACCAGCAAGGCGCAGAGATCAGGAAGGTATGCTGGAGAGTCAACAACTAATACGGGCCAGTAGTAATGCCTGGTAGTTGGCCGGCTCCATGTCTGGATCCCGCCATGGAGGAGATCTAACTTTGCCTAGCTGGTGCCGTTGTTGGTTTTCTCATACTAAAACTCTGTATGTGTGTGTGTTTTGGTGTATCATACTAAAACTCTGTATGTGTGTGTGTTTTGATATATTAATAAAGATATAATAATATATAAGTAACCGTGTATGTTCACGTACGGCTATTTTCATGGTTGTTTTTGTCGATTAAAAACTGACACCGAGTAGCGGGGTCCTGAGCTAAGCCTTGACAAGGAATCCGAACAATGCCGTCGTTGGTTTTCTCATACTAAAACTCTGTATATGTGTGTGGTTTTGTGGTGTGTTAATAAAGATATAATAATATTCTAGTAACTGTCAATGTTCATGTACCACTATTTTCATGGTTGTTTCTGTCGATAGCTAAGCCTCGACAGGGAATCCGAAAAGTGCATTCATTTTTTTGTTTGGTCTTGACAAAATGACTGAACCAGTAAATGTTGTAATCATTTTTCTCCAATGCCACAAAACTTGATTCATTATTCGTCACAGGAAAAATCCTCTCCAGATATACCTACGTACTGTTTTAGGGATAAATATGGTCGCTTTATTGCATGATATATAAGCTACAATAGCAGTATCATTTGGCTACGCGAGTCAAGTGTGACGACCATGCTTGAGGGACAGCGAACTCTTTACAAGATTGTGATCTACTGAATTGGAAGCCCTTCCCTCGTGAGCGAAATGAACCTCTGTGAAACATCAACGACGAAACGCGATTTCTTGAAGGATCGACTTGTGCACGCCCTTATTGTTAAGTAATTAGGCATAATTTTCATGATTAATTCCAGAATATTAAACATGATGATTGCAGCTACTGGCATGTGAAACTCAAGCATACTAGAAGCACTAAACAACATGAACAGCAGCAACACAACATCACAAAACATGAAACTAGCAAACATGTTTAACCAACGAGATGGGACACTGCGGTTATACCGATCGTTTGCAGATGAGGTAGCCGTTGGTGCAGCGATGTTATTGATGACAACGTTGGTGAAGACTGGTCGTAGAAGACAACGTTATAGACGGCGATGAGTCGATGAGTAAGATCGCTCGACCTGGACGGTAGGCAAGCCGTGATGAAGACAGCGAGCACTCGCGCGCGTGGTGCTTCCCAAAAATCTCATTCGCCCTCTCCCGTATAGGATCACAAAGGCGAGTGGTTCCGAAGACCTGCTCTCCCGTTCGCCGGTGCACGCCGGCGCTCGGGATGGGATGGACTACGGTGGCGGTGCAAGGAACGAGGTGTGGCAAAACCTAGATTGGTTTCTGTGTGTGTTGCGGCGCCCGCGACATGTCCTTATATAGCGGTTTGGAAAACCCTAACGGGAGCAACGTGGGAGGCCCATGCCGCACGCCCGAGTCGATTGCGGGAGCGACCTGAACCGACTAGACTGTGACGTGTCCATTTAGGAGCTTCATTGTCATCCTTCTCAAGGACTATATCATGTGGTTGCTCATGTGGTTGTTTAGAATAATCATTTGATGTACTAGATCCAACTATTATCTTAGAAGATATTCTAGCAGTGCTATGCATATATTTCATAGGAAACATATTCTAAAAAAAGTTGCATCACGAGATTCCATAATAGTATCAACATGCATGTCAGGTACCTTGGATTTAACCACTAAAAATCTATAACCAACGCTACGCTGAGCATAGCGTAGAAAGATACAATGTACTGCTTTGGTCCTAGTTTACGTTTCTTCGGGATTGGAACATTGACCTTCGCTAAACATCCCAAAGTGCGCAAATATGAAAGTGATGGTTTTCTCCCAAGCCACTCCTCATAAGGTTTTTTTTCTTTATTCTTGTTCAGAATTCTATTCAGGACATGACACGAAATCAAAAAAGCCTTCCCCCACCATGCCTTAGATAAACTAGCAGTGTCCAACATGGCATTCATCAAGTCGGTCAGCGTGCGGTTTTTCCTCTCAGCAACACAGTTTGATTGGGGCGAGTAGGGCGGCGTCCTCTCATGAATTATTCCATGTTCCTCACAGAATTCATAAAATATTTTGGGAAATTACTCCCCACCATGATCCGACCTAAGATGTTTGATCTTTCTCTCTAATTGATTTTTCAACTTCAGCCTTATAGATTTTAAAGTAGTCTAAAGCTTCATCTTTAGTTTGCAACAAATAAACATAGCAGAACCTAGTAGCATCATCAATTAACATCATGAAATAGCTCTTTGCACCTTTTGTCAACACACCATTCATCTCGCATAGATCAGAATGTATAAGTTCTAGAGGTGCCAAGTTTCTCTCCTCGGTTGCCTTCTGAGGCTTCCGAGGTTGCTTAAATTGCACACAACTAGGGTGTCGGTGTCAAAACCGGCGGATCTCGGGTAGGGGGTCCCGAACTGTGCGTCTAAGGCGGATGGTAACAGGAGGCAGGGGACACGATGTTTTACCCAGGTTCGGGTCCTCTTGATGGAGGTAAAACCCTACGTCCTGCTTGATTTATTCTTGATTATATGGGTATTACAAGAGTTGATCTACCACGAGATCGGAGAGGCTAAACCCTAGAAGCTAGCCTATGGTATGATTATATGTATATGTTGCCTATCGACTAGCCTGGCCTTGGTTTATATAATGCACCAATGGCCTAGGATAACAAGAGTCCTAGCCGCATACGCCGGTGGGGAGGAGTCCTTGTCTTGATCACCAAGTCTTGTGGAATCTTCCATGTATGCGGCAGCTGTCCGAACTGGCCCATGAGTATACGGCCATGGGGGTCCTCGGCCCAATCTAACAGATCGGGAGATGACGTGTTGAGTACCCCCTAGTCCAGGACACCGTCAATAGCCCCCTGAACCGGTCTTCAAGTTAGGGACGCTCCTCGATTCTTCCGAACTATTCTTCATCTTCGGTTGTTGGTCTTGAAAACTGGTTCAACAAATCTTCTCATCTTTGATCTTGAGGATCGCCGAAATGCATTCGACAAGTTTATACGTCGGGTATCCGAGGAGCCCCTTTAAGTTTCCGGCCTTTATCAATGCCTTGTTATTTTTATGCCACACCTCGGGTTTGAAGTTGTTCCTGGGAGGCAGTGCCCTCTTGCGTCCGAGCTCTAACGCCGGACTGCATTCGAGGTATTTTTTGCAGCCGAGCACCAATGTCGAACTGCTTCCGAGCTCCAACGCAGAAATGTATCCGAGCTCCAACGCCGGACTGTGTCCAAGCTCCAACGCCGGACTATATCCAAGATGACATAGATCATCTTGGTCCAAAAAAGTTGAAGGAGTTGAGCCGAGCTTAATGCTGGAAATGCCCTCTATGGAGCCAGCCACTAGCGCCCGAGCTTTATGCCGGACTGCTTCCGAGGTGGTGCACCACCCCGACTGTAGGCCGATTTTTTGTCAATATTTTTTATTGGTGCAATTTATTCTCTACCGAGATATACAGCCAGTAGCCCTCAAGGTGTGTATCGGTCTAAAACCCGAGATGCACCTGAAGGATGACGTAAGACCGCTGATCCCAGTAGCCGCTGGGACTCGGGTTGATTTGCAAAATCGGCCTGAGGATCAAGTCCTAGCTCGGCAGAATACTTCGGGACACAAAAAGCGGCGTGCTCAGTCCTCGAGACTCAGGTTGGGTGCGGCCGACCAACCTGAGGATCAAAATCTCCTCGGAAATTATATTGCACATAAAATTTTCTGCATTGGACAGGCAATGCAGTAGCCCCCGAGACACTGGTCGGGTGGCAACACCAGATCAGGGGATCGATGTGCCCCTTTAATATTTGTAAATAATAAGCCCGAAGCCCAGTAGCCCCCGAGCCTTAATGCGGGCACGGGTGGCCGAATTGAGGATCGATATCCATAGTAAAATCACAAATTATGTGTAATGACTCTATGTATCCAAGTACTTACGTCATTAATGCTCGGATCCGCATTGTACAAAACTTTGTTGACCGACCATCGGCTTCAACCTCCTCGGCCAGTAGCCGAGGAGTGTTTGTCCTACTTTATAAAGCCTTTATGAGGGCAAAGATTTATGATAAACAAGGAAAACTGGCCATACGATTTTATAAACAAAGGTACGCAGAGAGATATGTTATATTACTGTTTAACATAAGAAATGTCTTCCAAAGAAAATAATCCTGCTAGCGGTTCCTTTCTTTGGGTTGTCATGCTAAGCATGGTCATGAAACCTCAGCCCCAATGTAAGAGCAAAATATTGGGGATTTAGTTTGGGAGGCCAGTTACTAGCCCCCGGTAATGTTCCGCGACAGTCGAGGTCAAGCCGTAAACACTTCGGCCAATGTTATGAATGGCCGATCATATACTACAATCATCGGATTACTGACCAGTTTACGCTTATTGTGACAGTCAGTTTTTGGCTTTCTCCACTGAGGTGCTTAACCATGTGAGCTGAAAGCACAATCGCAGTGGTTCTCCATTTGCACACCTAGCCGAACAAAAGCGGAACGTAGGAGGCAAGCGCAGGAGTCGGGCAACCCAACTATTGGCCGAAGACACAATTCGAAACCGATGCATATATAGCAATATCCGAGAATGTTTTTGCCGAATCTCTAAAGATGTCCGGTGTTGCACTGCAAGACTTGTGCTGAAAACACACAAATAGTTTAATAGTGCCAAAAGCTTGGAGAACCAAAAAACGTCAGTAAAACATGACGTCCAAATAAGATCAAGTGTTCGGTGCCAATCCGAAAATTGGTCTTAGAAAAAAGAATGCTTCTGTCGTGCTTTAACATGACACATCCTATCTCAAGACTCCAAGCGGGTCAGCCTACGGCTTCAACCTCCTATCCCGAAGGCGGAGTACTTCTCATTAGGCCAGTTTAGCAAACTAAACTCTAGCGGCTTTGAGAGAGAAATTAGGCTCCCCGGCTAGTGACCACACACTCGTGTCAAAAAAGGAG